AAAGGTTTTAATCAATCCTACAGATTACACCTGGTTTTGCTATTTTGGTACGTAATGTTTTTTTTTATTATCAGTAAACAATTTTTTATTTCAGTTAAAGAGAAGCTGAGTCACACAAAATGTAATTTTCAAATGGTTTTCAATCAATTAGAAAAAAAAGCATCCAAAGCAACCTGGACATTTGTTAATCCATGAATTAAATGAAAAAATTATTATAATAAATCTGTGAAAAGGGCATGCAGGGTTCGGGGGCCACAAAGAGGGGTTCCGCGGGCCGCCTACTGAGGACCACTGGTATAGAAATTCTCTCTTCACAAAAAAAAGTCATAACTAAAAAACAGCAGTTTGAATTTAGTAAAAAAAAATCTTTGACATAGAAAATTGTTTGCTGGTCTGAAATATTTAAATGTGGCACAAAGCAAAGGGCACCACGGTCTGTAGGCGGACGGAAAGACATCAGGAAATTAAGAGAAGAGGATACAAACGAGCATCTATGAAGTTATCTGCAACATGATGAGTCGGGAAAAAAGATTCTCTCAAGTTCTTGCTTCTTCTAAAAGAAATCTGTGAGAGTCAGATGTGATCTTATGGAGAAACGTAAAAACTGTGGTGCCAAATAAAAAACTGATGTTTTATGATGCGCAGTCATTATTAAAAATACGAATCCGACTGTTTGCTTTAGAGCCGAGCCTGCGAGCAGCACAGAAGACTTTTACATGATCGAGGACACATTCAGCAGGTAGGGTGAAGGTTTTAATCAGGTCGATTTTCTTTTGTTACTGCTGAATTATCAGAGGGGTGTCCGATCAGTCTGAGCTATTTCTGAGAGTGCCAGCTTCCTCCAACATAAAGACCAGAAACTTCAAGAAGTATATCAAACAGCACAGAATCAATCTGAGTTGTATTTAATGAACAAAAATATCCCAAAAAAAGACAAAATAAGGTGAAAAGTTCAAGAAATTGTCATTTTGGTAGTATTTTGAGGTCAAACTGTGAAACTAACCTTATCTTTCTGGTCAAAAACAGACCAGAAACATTTGCATCCTCGTTATGTTCATCCTCACGTGGTGAAAGTCGGATACCTGCCAGTGGACATTGTTTAACTGGTGGTACATAGGTGGATGAGGACAAAGGAAAGCTGCTGTAATGCCAGACCACACATCCCACAAATGAAGAGGAAAGGATAAATGACATGTTTCCTAAAAATGAAGTGAGAAAGAGTGCTCAGAATGGTACATTGTTACCAATGTTGCATCCAGAGGTTGCTTAGTGACAAGACAACCCGTGATCACGAGTAGGAAATGAAATGCAAACTGGACCCTGGGGGGGGGGGGGGGGGGGGGGCATTAATCATCTCAGGCAGAAAATAGCTTTGGTCTATTCTCTTCAGCTGAAACATGCTCTAATGGTCATAAAAAAACTGCTCAGGATTTTCAGATTCCAGTTCCTCTGATCTGAGCAACACATTCTTTTTTTCTTTTTTTGCTTTCACCAACAGATATTTCAGATTCCTGCTGAACAAATTAGAAAATGTCTTTCAGACTCAGATAGTAGGCATATTATTTTCTGTGGAATGATCTTTAAAACTTTAGCATATTTCAGATCTTTTGAAACTACCTTGAAACATTTTAATATAGAAATCCCTCTGATAACGAAGTAAAGTTTTACTTTTTGACTTATGGGGGTTCCGGAGTTCCTTCAGAAACTGTTTCATGGCAGCCCTGTGTGTGCATAATCCACCTCGTCTCCTGTGGTTAGAAATCCACAGTCCTGCTGAGCGGTAACATCATTCAAGTCATTCCAGCTTTACTTTTCTTTCTTGTACACTCAGATGTCACATTTCTGCAGTGTTTGTCTGCTCTGCCTTCTTGATCCCCAGTGTGTCATGGTGGATGGCTGCTTATACTGAGCCAGGATCCTCTGGAGCAGGGGTGTCAAACTCAAACTCACACGGGGCCGAAATGAAACTCTGGGACGGAGTCGAGGGCCAAACTTAATATTTTTTGAAAAAGTGACGGCAAATTTGCACATTTTCTTTATCAACATATATGCAATTTTGAACCTTTAAATTTGGAAACAAACTTATTTCTGCATTAACACTGAATGTGGAATAACCAAATTACACACGAGCAAGTCAGTTTTAAATAAAAGGCATCAGTGGTATTCATTACTTGTGGTATAATCAGCATTTTATAAATCTATTCAGGATTTATGTTTTCTTGTTTATTCATTTTTCTTATTTTTTATTCTCCTTTTTTTTCTCCTGTAATACGTGTCATCGCTGCTGTGACATCTAGCTTTCCCCACTGAGGAACAATAAAGGGAATTTCTATTCTATTCATCTATCTGCAGCCTTTCCACTTCCTGTTAACTGTAGGTTAAATCTTTTCTCACGGGCCAACAACAAAATAAAAATATCATTTTATCTTAAATGAAAATGCAACATCTCACCTGTTAACTTTCATGTTTTGGAGCAGAAAAAGAGCATAAAACCAACATATTTAAAGCTCAGTTTGCTCTGCTGGTTTACTGTGATGCTCACCTGTTCCAGCCAGATACCTGCATCATGGGGTTGATCTGAGCTGAGGAGGAGACTCCTGTTGTTTTGTTCATCTTCATCATAATAATGACAACATTAGATGACAACAGGTGCTCACATAGGTTTGTGCTGCTGAACATGTCTGAGCAGCTTGACCACGTTGTTGTGTGTCGGGGAGGAAACACAACGACTGCAACCAGAGTCGTGCTGGTTTGAGCGTGTCGCTGTTCGCTGGAGTTATATCGGCTCTGTCTGGACGTTAGTTGGAAAACTTTCTCTTTCAGTCGTGAACACATTACTGAGCGGCTAGAATCTCCGTTTCTGGGCTTCAACGTCAGAAAATAGCTGAGTGAACTCGGCGCTGAGTGAGAGGAGTGTAGTTTGTCCGAGACAGCGGAGCTGCAGACACCGGCAGCAGGCGCTGGAAAAAACACAAAGGAGGGGGCGCGTCGGCTCCACGCTGATGCCACAAAGCATCATGGGAGTTGAAGTCGTTGCGGTAAGATCGGCCAGCAGGCCAGTTTTAATATATTTTTGATATTTATCTCACGGGCCACATAAAAATGCTCCGCGGGCCGCATCTGGCCCGCGGGCCTTGTGTCTGACATATGTGCTCTGGAGGTTTGTTCCTGTTAAAAGGGAGTTTTCCTCTCCACTGTCACTAAATGCTTGCTTAGTATGAGGATTGCTGTAAAGACTCTGACACCAGTCAGTGACTTGATGCAATTTGCTGAGTTCTATAGGAGAGCTTTTACAGATTGGCTTAATGAACTGACCTGTATTGGAATGTTTACCATGTGAAGTGTTTTGAGACGACTCTTGTTGTGATTTGGCGCTATATAAATAAACTTGAATTGAATTGAAAACTTGAAGTTCTTGCAGGACACTTCTGAATATCTAACAAAATAACTTTTTACAATTAGATCCATTTCAACATGTGTTTGAAGCATTTTCTTTAAAAGGGCAAGAAGAACAGTCTTGTTTTAAAGATACTTTCTTTTTCTTCAGGCAAGCTGATGCAGTTGATGCTGAAGGACCACTTCATTCCAAAATATGTTGGTAAATATTTGTCCAGATCTGAATAAAAGGACCTTAAATAAATGAAAAATTTCATTAACCCTCCCACCGTCTTCATGGGTGACCCCGCAAAGAAAGTTGACCATTGAGCAGAATTGATGGTTTATCCCTTGAGGTCCACGTGGCAGGGGTGAGGTGGTGCTCACTCCTCATCCTCCTAACCCTAACCCTATCATGCATACTTAAACTTTAAACATTATAATGAGAATTATTTCAATTTAAGTACAATCAGTTGTTCCAAAAAATCAAAATATCACAAAAACTAAACCTCAGATATCGGATCATATTTTGACATTTTGAGTGAGAGAAGAAGTAACTGAAGAGTTTGGTGTATAAGATGTGCATGGGATGTAAAAAGGGTAAAAACTGAGATATTTTCCAATACTAATGCACATATCGATCAATAATAATGACAGGCTGATATTGGACATCCCTAATAAAAACAGATATTTACATTAACGTGAGTGTGTGTATTGTCCCTGGTGATAGGGGGCAGAACATACCTACATCACTGCAACCAAGCGTAGTTTTGTGTTTGAGTAAGACCTTACCAACAGATGGCCATTAGGGTCAAAAATCACAATCTTCTGCAAAATGACGAACACATCAGACTTCCTTTCATCGCTAGCAACGAGTGAAGAGGTAAATGTGTAAAATAACATTCACTAAATGCAATTTGTCCTCATGTGCTCCTGTAAAACAAAACATGGCGTCTAATATGGCGTCACCCACAGAGTTCTCCTTCATTATATTAATAAAGTCCCTTCCCACCCCCAATCAAGGGGGGCAAGATGCTGAACGTAGTGCAGAGGAGCAACACAATAAAATAGCTCTATAATAAAATACAGAGATAAAAACTTTTCAAAACAAAAAAAGAGCAAAAAACAGTTTAAATAATGATCAAAAACATTAAAATGTGAATAAAAACAACTAAGAAGCAGATCTAAAATACAGCTTAAGCCTTGCTTTAAAAGTGGACAGCGATGTGGACTGCTTGATTTCTTGTGGGAGTTGGTTCCAAAGCCGAGGACCCAGAACTGCAAAGGCACGATCACCCCTAGACTTATGCTTTGATCGCGGTATTACCAAAAGGTCACTCTGACCCGAAGGGACATAATGGGTCAGCAGGGAGGCTAAATACGGTGACACTGATCCAGACAGGTATTGAAAAACAAGGACCAGGATTTTGAACAAGATGCAACTCTTCACTGATAGCCAGTCCAGGGTTGTCAGGAGGGGAGCGACATGCTCCCACTTACGTAATCCATAAAGAAATCTGGCCACCAGGTGGTCCGTACACCAGACACCCTTATAAATCACTGACACAAATGTGATGCTGCAAGTGTAAGTTACTAATAAATATGTATAAATAAGTGACATCATCTTCATTTCTTTCACTTTTAATGCTTTAAATTATTTAATAAAAGGCTATTGTTCATAATTAATAAAATAATAGAAGACATTCTCTTTCATCCTGTCAGTGGAAACATCACAGCAGAAACACTTAAGACAAATCAACACAGAATGTTTTTGTCACTGTAAACAAAAACATGAACAATGAGAAACAGAGTTACTGGCAAGTTTCTGGCATCTCTGGTCAATTTCACTGCATTTTATGCAGCTAAAATTTGTATTTATTCAGACAATTTCAAGTTTCTGGTCTTCTCAAAGCATCAAACGAGTCTCCTCACCTTAGCAATATTTGTTTTAATATCTCACAACAATGTCAATAATATTTGATAGGGTAGGTTTAATTCAAGGTTGTCACCTCAAACACACAACGTATAAAAATAACTGTGTGTGTTTTAGGTTTTGACATTTACTGGTGCTTTGATTTTAAACTTTACTTGCAGGCTGTTGGTGAAGGAGAAGGTGATGTGAATATCTGTGTGGATGCAGGCAGTCGCTCCAGGGATGTCACCCATTCATTCTCTGGTCACTTTAATAGGCACAACACTTCTGCTATTTATTCTGTACGCCACGTAAACAAGGTTTTTCCTTATTTTTTTATTTAATGCAAACTCTGTTTTGTGCAGATGTTCTTAACTTCCTGACTAACTTACCTGCCCGAGCTGGCAGCACTTCCTTTGTAGATAAAAGTAATTATATTTGCTCTCTAAATCAGAGACAGTAAACCTTGTCTGCTTCAGATCTGTCATCTGACACATCTGAATAAGTTAATTATTATGCAGTTCCTTTAACGTTATTTTTGACAAAAGGTGACGTTTACACTCCTTTAGAGGCCTTAGAGGGTTTTTATATTAGTAGTTGAGAAAATCTGGTTCTGGTTAAAAATCCACAAAATAAACAACCCATTACATCAATGATCCTATTTTAAATTCACAGATCTATAATCTCCATCTCCTGAGGGCTTTTCAGTGGACAATACATCTGGAGGGGAGCTGGTGCAGTAGAGAAAGCTCTAAACACCCAGCACGGTCTGATCTGGTTTACTACTGCAGCGTTAGAATAACTAACTTTGAGGTTTGGAAAAAAGAGCAAAACAACGGGACTGTTTACTTGTGTCTTCTCCTCATCCTTCCTTCCTTCCTTCTGAATAAAAATTTGGGTTTTCTAAAATTATTTTCCGACTCAGTCAAGGAATCAGAGGCAGTGAAAAAAGCTGATGAATTAAGCTCAAATGCAATCTGGGGAAGAACATGACCTTTAACCTCAGGTGACTTTTCCAGAATGAATGTAATGTTTTTCCACTAAAAGTTGTTTCCCTCAAAAAGAAAATGAAAGCCATTAATAATTGTGAAGCTTTTTTTGTCTCTTTTTTTTTTTGACACAACTTAAAACCAAGCTTATAATCGACCCCATAAGAACTGGGACACAAAATAAAAACATGATACTTGTACGTAAATGTCTTCAAATAAATAAAATAAGTGATAAAATGCTGCAAAATCTGAACATCAAGTTTAAAAAAAGACAACATCCTTCAGCCAGAGTGATGCAGCTGGAGGGGGAGGAGATTTCCAGAACAGTGAAACTCTGTGTGCCAGTAATGAAATAAAGGGCATTGCATCCATCGGCTTTCAACCAGGGTTCATAGTGAAACCCTGTGCAGTGGAGGTGATCAGAGAAGGCAGCCTTGCCTCTGAAGACTATGATGTAGTCTGCCATCACCAGCAGAGTGTCAATCAACTGGATTCTCTGTAAAGCGCTTCATTAAAGGTGTTGAACTCTCATTTAATCAATACATTTGCACATACGAGGAGTACAAATGCACAATGTTCAAATGCTTATGGAGATGAATATATTTGTGGAAGTTATCCACAAGTAACAATAAAACTAAAGTGGTACTTTACTCATATTTTTAATACATTTGCAGATTTTCCTAGTAGGAATGAATGCCTTGTAACCACTACTGCATACTGGAAGCATCAGCGGCGCCAAACGGCACTGCTTCAAATAGAATTCATTTTAGTCTATTGAGTGTTACAAATCCGCTCCACTAAAGATGGGATCAGGTTCTATTTTTTCCCGTGAACCACTGGGATGCGTCAATTTCTGCAGTTAACATAGGGCAAGACAGGAAATCACACACGGTTTTAGTGTAGAATCCTCGGTAATTTTCAAAATAAAAGTACTGCAGCAATGCAATTTTATATATATGAAGCCCAACAACTTATTTACTTCTAGTATGGTTCCAGAAGTGCTACATGACATCAAACAGTGATAACGTGATTTCCTCCTGTTTGGTTTAATCATGGATTGCATAAACAAACCATAACCTTTGAAGTCGCGAGGGATTTTCTGATCTCGCGAGGAGCACGGCAAAGACGTCGCTTTGCTGCCAAGACTCTCCCGGTCTGCACTAGACTGCTGTGATTGTGGCGAGTAAACTGCTCCGCTGATGCTTCCAGTGTGCCGTCGGAGTTAGTCGTTCAATGTGCTGGTGCACCATTTCCAGGAATGAGGAGTGAGCCACATTAAAGCTGAGCTTCAGACAGAAGGTTACAGAATCTTATTTCCTGATATTTGGACATGTGTCCTAGGACTGGATAACAGCAGCTGACTCACAACGTTGATGTTTTATCTCCACAAATAACAAAAGCTTGGAGGAATTGCGCTGTGTGGAGATGCTAACGCTAACAGTTAGCTTCTACTAGCCAAGACATTCTCTGCCGTTTCCTGGAATCTAAATAAAACAACAGCCTTCCCCATCATGAGCTACGATGGGTGAGTCCATGAATGTTAAATCAAATCAACCTTTATTTACAAAGCACCGTACGGACATGAAACATGCCACCAAAGTGCTGTATAGCTAAAATAAAACAGATAAAACCAGCAGGGACAATTAAAAACCCAACAATATAAACATAACAGAATTAGAATATGTAAAAATACCAGCAACAGCTAACCCACAGAGTTAAAAGCCTGATTATAAAATAGGTGTTCAACCTCATTTTAAAAACCTCTACTGATGGGGAGAGCCTACCAGCTAAGGGAAGGGCGTTCCATTGTTAATGTTAAGTGACAGTGTGACGTCAGACTTTTCAAATCCCAGAGTTTTAACGTCTATTTTCTATCAGAAGCTAATGAAGGGGGGCAGATGTAGGAGACTATTTACATGTTCAGCCATCAGCAGTGATTATAATCAAAAATAATGATTAAAAATGTTTTTTTCAGTGATCCACATCTTTAAAGACCAGTTTGACTGAAGTGGTGAGCAGCTGTAAAACACACATTTAACTCACAAATGTCTCAGAGATGCTGGGAAATATTTAGGGTTAGGGATTTTGGACAAATGCGGTCTAGATACCACGGGGTTGTGGTGAACCCTTTCGGTTCGGCCTGTTCGGTTCAGGCCACTTGCGTAACCGTTTCAGTTTCAGGTTACATTACTTCTTTTAATTAGCTGCTTCTTATTTTCACTAAAATCATCCAGTTTGTTTATCACCGACATCTTGGAAGTTTTCCAGCTTCCTTCACAGCTTTGCCTTTTCAGCCCTACACTCTACAACCCTGTCTGACAACATCTTGTCTATCTCCGCTGAAGTGAAGCCATACTCCTGTAGGACTTCCACCGTGTGTTCTCCAACAACCGGGTCAGAAGCGAGGCAAGGCTCGGCGGGAGTTCGAGACAGAACCGGAGCCGGCCGGGGGAACTCCTCGCCGCTGGAGTTCTTCACGAAAGAGCCTCGTTCCCGGTTGTGGTGGTGAGAGCTCACCTCGTCAAAAGACAAGACAGGTGTGACGCAAGCGTCAACCTCATCAAAGATCCTCGACCAGTCCGCCTGCGTCTTTGAGGCGAAGCGCTGCGTGAAGATCCGTCTCATCTCCGGCCAATCGCTGAAGCTCATCTGAGGAGGCAATTCTCCAGCGTCCAACTGTAAGCCTGGAAGGAGCAAAAATACAAAAATCTGATGTAACCCAATGAACAAAGAAGAAAAAGTTATTGGAAAAATGACATAAAACACATAAAAATGTGAGGATCTGAAAGCAGAAAAATAGTTTCTATTGTTCGTTCCTTAACATTGGAAGAAAATTTATTTTTGCTTCACGAACCTTTAAGCAGCTGCTCGTAGAACTGTGGCTCTAACGGTCCCACAGCCATGTATTTTCCATCCAGGGTCTTGTAGGTATCGTAGAAAGGTGCTCCGCTGTCCAACAGGTTCTCTCCTCTGCCACGGCTCCACAAACCAACTCTCTGAGACTTCCACACAAACGAACCCAAATAGGCAGCACCCTCCACCTAAAACATAAAAAACAGGAGGAAATCTAAACTTTCTCCACAATAATTTTACATCATTACAGAATACAAATTAGGCTTGTATAAAAAAATACATTAGCACTTCATGGCAATCCATGTTTAAACCTCAGAACAGATGAGCTAGAGATGGTCAGTATTTGTGTCGGGTTCCTCGTGGAAAGAAGAAAACATTTATCTGATGAAGCTATAAAGAAAAAATAATGTGCGACCGAAAGAGGGGTCAAACAAGAGTCACCATCAGGAAAGCGCTTTCGGAAGTTTAGAGATAAAGAAGATTTCTAATTGGATGCAGACCTCCTGACCAGGCTATTGCACTTGTCTGTGTAACTTTGAAATGTGGTCAGCTGGTGTGAAACACGGGCGAACAGCGATGGGGAGAAGAAAAGTTTGTGATTTAAAACAAACACCAGGAAGAGGAAAAGCAAGCCAAAACAGTCATGTTCAAGTAGCTTTTATCTACTTTGACATTGTAAACATTGTAAAAACAGGGTATCTGCAGCTTTAAGGGAGCCAAATTTAAGACTTTTTAAGACCTTTTTAAGGCCACTTTGACCAAATTTAAGCTATTCTTTTAAATTAATTTTAAGCTATAATTTCCAGCTATTGCCTGGAACCGGTGCTACCCACGTCACAAATGTGGTATTACCCACCTAGTTACCATTAAACTTGCACTTCCCCATGGCGCAAGCTCCCACTAGCTTAACCAGCTAATGTGCTCATCCAAAAATAGCCCCCTTTCCCAACCAACTGAATGTGTACGGTTCCGCTTACGCCAACATTACACACAAAAAATGCTGAACACTAACTAGAAATTCTTGTTCATTGGGTCTTTGGTAATTTAAGACCTTTGGAAACTGTATTTAAAGATTATTTGTAATTTTTAAGGATTTTTAAGGCCTTAAATTTAGAAAAGCAAATGTAAGACTTTTTAAGGACCCGCGGATACCCTGTAAAAAGCTTTATGCAGGTTATAATGAAAAATGACAGAAATTAAGTGACAGATCTTTTAAAAAGGGCACAAAACCTGAGAGCGAATGGAACGTATTCTCATTCAAACTGCTGCTGAGGCCACTCTGTGACAAAAACAAGACTTGTGCATGAAACGATGGTTCTGTGAAAGCTGGGAGCCAAAACTGGACTCTTGCTTTTGATGGTCTTTGTTCATGAAAAATGCATTTTTCAACAGAAAGAAAAGAACAAACTCAAACATGATGAGAGTATGTGGAGAAAAACTGAATAAATTCTTTATTGTTTATTCCAGCAGACCAGCCATTAAAATACACTACACATAGATGGAGGGGTGTGTGAAAGTATCATTTCTGACTAATGATACAATAATGTGCAGGACGAGCAGCTCTGTGCGGCTCTTTCATTCTCTCCAATCACATCTGTATTTAGGACCGGCTACATTGCTTCCACTTTAGCTCACTGTCTACATTTTCTGTCTGCACTTTGAAATGTCTGTGAGCAAAAGAAGAATGGTGCTGCAGATGGATGCTGCGGTCAGTGTCCACACATGAAAAGATAAGAAAATGTAACATTTTTTTGGGCCATTTAGCTTTGCAGAAACAAGCTGGAATCCAAAAAATGTCAAACTGCGACATTTTAAAGTGATCTGGCGAACAGTTTCAAAGCGGATTCGTGATTGTGTTCACCTGGTAAACATGGATCCATCCGATTCTCTCTTGGCTCTGATTCCTGGGAACGCTGGGCTTTTTCAGCAGATAAGTGCCTCACTACATTCACAGCCAGAGACTACTGTGTTTGCCTGCTGTATACTGACAGCGGGGGGGCTGTTTGAGGGTTGTTGTAAAAACACCATGGGGTAAGTGTTACTTCTGTTGAGCTGAAGGCTGCTGAGTCACGAGCTGCTTGATGCAACATCATCATATAAATAATTAGAAATGTTTGTGCAATAATTGCCTCCGAATTTAAACTTCATATTAATGTCAGTAGCATCTGTGTCTGATAGCTTTTTTTTTTGTCACATATCCATCTTGTTGTGAAAAACTGTTTTACACAAAAATATTTCATCTAGTATTTACAAAAGAAATAACTCAACACATCAGACATTAACCAAATACTACCAGAAGGATTGAAGCACCTTTGAAGATTTGAGACATTTTGTGTTTGGACCATTAAACAAGAGGCTAGTAAATGTCAACATGAGCCAAGCAACACTGATTGTGTATTAAAGGCTATTTAATGCCAGGAAACTAATCCACTGTTACTTTTGTTCTTTAATTTTGCATGCTGTTAAATAAGCTGAGTGACTCTCAAATGGCATTTTGTAACACTAGAGTGGATATTTTAGGCCGATGCTGTAAAGCACAAATGCTTCCACTAGTAAAATACTTGTATTGCCCTCCACCCTGGAGGATCTTAATGTAATTCTTAGACATTTACCAAATTTAAGGTGGCTGCCACAGTTAATTTACCTTAAAGGTGAATATAATGCTGTCAAATTTACACATACTGAGCTGCAATTTTTTGAGGTAGATGCTCAGAGTCCCCATTTAGTTTCAAACCTTGGCTCAAAAGATGACAGGTGACATGCCTTTACATACGGAACTATATTTTTCTTTGATCAACTGACAAAATGTAAAGTGAGGAAACAGAAGAAAAGCCTAAATCAAATGAATATGTGATGCGATGTCCTTCCCCTTAAAACAGTCAGCATTTGCATGAATCAAAGCTCTTTTTTGGTTACAGCTGCATAAAAACATTTGCACAACATAGTAATATGACAATACAGATATGGCAGATTGACAATGTGAGGATGTCCATTAATGAAAAAATAGTTCAGACCACAAGATCTATGTCAGAAGCTGGCAAACATTAGATGTGATGCCCGTCCTGTTCGCTGTCTGCCAGACGTGACGATGCACAATGAACCCGATCATGAGTTGTCAATGGAGCTGACAAATATCTCACTAAGAGCGATCCCCTTATCGCAGGGGTGTCAAATATGCGGCCCGCGGGCCGGATTCGGGTTAAATCCGGCCCGCGAGATGGTTGTGTAAACTTTATTTTCATACTTTACAATGTAGAGTGAAAATAAACGTATCATTGTGAGCAAGTTTTCTCTGTAATGAGTATAAATGAAACAAAGCTGCGCTCAAGGCTCACACAAGAACTTGAATCACATCCTGAAGTTGGCTGCCACTCAGGATGTGACTTCTGATATTGATGTGCTGGTGAAAGCTAAAAGATGTAAAGTAAAATGAGTCAAATACACTACAAGTGCTGCATGAAACTGATCTTGCCATGTGATCTGTAAGCTCTTTGAATCACTAAGGAATGTTTTTTTTTTATTTGTTGATTTTTTTTATTTTATTTTTTTCAAATTTTCAAGTACACTTCAGGTGTTGTACTTGTACTACACTGTCCTCAGGCTCCAGCCTCGTTTTATATTGATTGTATTAAAACAAAGAAAACAATCTGAAGTTTTTTTTTATTTACCGGTCCGGCCCACTTGGGACTACATTTCCCTCAATATGGCCCCTGAGCTAAAATGAGTTTGACACCCCTGCCTTATCGTTTGCATGTTTAAATCAAATTGTTTCTACCAGAGTGTATAATTCGCACATTAATGAGGACTGAAGGATTTTAATAAGAGTTCCATATCAGCACATCAAGTCCAAATTTACCCCACAGGTTAGGGCACTGCGTGTGTATCTACACTCACCAGCCACTTTATTAGGTACACATTGCTAGTACCAGGTTGGACCCCCCCCCCCCCCCCCCCCCTTTTCCTTCAGAACTGCCTTCATCCTTTGTGGCATAAATCCAAGGAGGTAATGGAAACATTCCTCAGATATTTTGGTCCATATGGACACGATAGCATCGCGCAGTTGCTGCAGATTTGTCGGATGCACATCCATGATATGAATCTCCCGTTCCACGACATCCCAAAGATGCTCTATTGGATTGAGATCTGGTGACTGTGGAGGCCTTTTAAGTACAGTGAACTCATTGGCATATTCAAGAAACCAGTCTGAGATGATTCAAGCTTTATGACATGGAGCATTATCCTGCTGGAAGTAGACATCAGAAGAAGGGTACATTGTGGTCATAAATGGATGGACATGGTCAGGAACAATAATCAGGTAAGCTGTGGTGTTGTAACGATGTGCAGTTAGTACTTAGGGGCCCAAAGTGTGACAAGATATTTTCCCCCTCACCAATACACCACCACCACCAGCCTGGATCGTTGATACAAGGCAGGATGGATCCATGTTTTAATGTTGTTGAAGCCAAAATCTGACCCAACTAGGGATGTCCCGATCAGGTTTTTTTGCCCTCGAGTCCGAGTCATTTGATTTTGAGAATCTGCCTATACCGAGTCTCGATCAGATACTTTCGATACTTAAAAAAAAAGAAAGAAAGAAAAGGAAGAAACAGTTCCAGAATGTTTCTTATATTTCATTTTATTGCCTTTTTATTTAAATTTTTAACCACAGATCACTTCTGTGAGGTAGCTTGAACAATCAATAAATAACAAATTCTTCACTTTTGGACTTTATTGCAAATATAAAAAGTCTAATATAAAAACAGATAGCACTTCAACTTAAAATACCTGGCAGGGGTCTATTTTGCCTCGGCCCCCAAAATGCTAGATACGTCCCTGGGCGTGGGACGGAGTTTTGAAGATGATCTGAATTGTATTTGTATCAACTATATAAATACTACATGCTGATAAATTATTGCTTTCTACAGGTACAAACGTGTAGTGGGATAAATCTACTTACATTTTATCTTTTAAGAACTTTGTTTTGTTTTCTTTGTTTTTATTTTCCTATCTTCCTGTCCTGTCTGCCTCTGATCTTCCTGCATCTCCCAGTCCTCCAGAAAAACTCTTGCCTGATTCTTTCTTTTCACCTCACAAGTAACTTTTTAACTAGCAGATCAAATTGATCTATTGACCGCGAAAAAGCAGAGTGTGCGCTGTGCTGCCCGGCTGCGCCAGTGACGAGCGCTGC